AAACGGCCCTAAAAGATAGCGGATTCCTAGCAATACTCACATACTCACCACAGAATACAAAAAAGACCAACAGGAGAAGAAATATCATATGGTTCAACCCACCGTACAGCAAGAACGTAAAAACAAACGTAGGAAAAATATTCTTCAAACTCTTACACAAACACTTCCCAGAATCAAGCACCTTACACAAGATATTCAACAAAAATACAGTAAAAATCAGCTACAGCTGCACCGAGAGCATGGCACAAATAATAAAAAAGCACAATAGGAAAATTATCAACAAACTACACGAACAAATTAAACCCACGTGCAACTGCAGAATAAAGAACGAATGTCCCTTAAACGGAAATTGTCTACAAAACAACGTAATATACCAAGCCACGATAAAATCACCAGATAACGAAGAAAAAGTATACATAGGAGTAACTGAAGGACCCTGGAAGCAAAGAAATTATACACAAAAACATCGTTCACAAATAGTAAATATGCGAACAGTACTATGCTTTCTAAGTATATCTGGGAAATAAAAAACAAAACGCACATCACACCAAAATATCTTGGAAGATAAGGAAAAAGTCATCAGCCTACAACAACCAATCAAAAACTTGCAAACTTTGCTTGGAGGAAAAAATAGCTATCATTACTTTCCCCGACCAAAATAAATTATTAAATAAAAGATCCGAGCTCATCTCAAAATGCAGGCATGAAAATAAATTTTTACTACGTAACCTAAAAAATGAAAAACGGAAAAAATAAAATAAAAACAAATACAATAAAAAAAAAAAAAAAAAAAATAAATAAATAAATAAATAAAATAAATAAATAAGTACTATGTTGCTTAAAAACCGAAAACCAAAAAGAGAAAATATAAAAATAAATTGACCTAAATTCATCCAAGTAAATAAATAGGCAAACCAATCCCAAATTAAAAAACTGTTCCCGCCAAAAAAATAATAGTTAGAATGAACTACAACAACCAACCCCAAAATTGAACAAATAGCTTTAATTAAATTCTCAAACCAAAACAAAACTGTTAAATACGTGATATAAACAAATTTTTACTACGTTAATAAATAAATAAATAAAATAAGAAACAAAATAAATAAATAAATAAATAAATAAAATAAAATAAAAAAATAAATTAAAACGAGCAATATAACTTGACCCAAATAAATGAACAAAGCGACTTCCGGTAAAAATAACCGCCATAATAGAATACCCACAATGCACCACTAACCCGTATATATATAAATAGCCGAGAAAAATAACAGCACACGTGGCCTGACGATTGCATATAGCATGAAACAGACTGTCGCCTCTAAGTGTTGACTTCTATGTTCACTTTTATATTTATATTTACACACGCTCTATCTCTGATATTGAGCACTTTATCCCATAAATATAGCACACCTTAAGACTATATTTCTTTATATATATATATATATATATATATATATATATATATATATTAAGTGATAAACATTTTTCGAAATTCCTAACACCGGTCATTTTTGTGTGTCTTTGACGTAGACGAGACTGGCTATGTGTGTCTTGATAGAAACAAATCAGAATTTTGGTTTAGATGAGAAGAGAATTTCAAACCCTGTTTCCTAAAAAAATAAAGTTTTTTTTTATGTCTTCCATTTCGCTGCTTATCTTGAAAATGAGAAAAACAGACGAGACTTTGGGTTTGTGTTTCTTTCGCGCGCTAAGCGCCATTATTTCTTTTACTGCCCTTATTCTTTGATTACTCGACCAACAGCCATTTTATTTTATTCTTATTTTTATTTTTTTAATATCATATAATCTGTGGAATTGTCTTAAACTAAGAAATTGTCTTTCTTTCTAAAATCGGAATAAATTTGATCTATCTCTTTGTATATAATGGTTACTTAAAAGTACTAGATACACTCCACTTTCCAAAAACTGACCGAACATCAGATTTTTTTTTTTTTTTTTGGTAACCATTCTGTGTCAGTTTAGAAGATTTCAGTTCACCATTGTAGATAAAGCGGTCCCACTTCACCCTCCTGGAGTCAATGCTCTGATAATGGGTGAGGGGGGGGGGCTATGCTGACGATGCAGATATTCATACTTGGGATAAAAATGATCTTGAACAAAAAAAATCAACGTTTTCTACCAAGTGTTCTAAGAAAATAGGACTGACGAAAAACCTATCCAAAACAGAAACAGTAATCTGGATTTAGAATAAAAGCAATGATGGCACATACCCTGAATCCATCATTAAAATGAAAACATCCTCTGTCAAGTGTTCTAAGAAATAGGACTCAAGGTAAACCTTTCCAAAACAGAAACTATGATTTGGAATTGGAATGAAAGCAGGGATGCACATACCCTGAATCTATCATCAAATACAAGATGTGGTATTAGTAAATATTAAACATTTAATTATTTCGGTGTGTGGATCATTTGTAAGAATTTTAGAGTGGGTGAAAAGGAAACTGAACATAGAATAGTCTCTCCTATTTGTCAAACACCA